GCGTACGCACCTGCGGCTGTTGATAAATGCCGCGCTCAAAACCAGCGCGCTCAAAACCAGCGTATTTATGAAAGTCACGCCTAGAAATATTCAGAAACTGCCTGTTCCACGCCCTGTTTTTGCAACAGGTCAGCAGGAAGTCGGCTAAGAAGCCGCAAAAAGCACGCACTTCTGAGATTATTCAAGTTTTTAAAAAAAAATATATATATGTACGCTCTATTATATATACGCGTTTCCTAGTGTCTAGACCCACTGCAGCACTCATCTCTCCTGAAATTTAGAAGTAAATAAATAAATAATAAATAAATGAATGAATGAATGAATGAATGAACCAGTTCCCACATGTGCGTTGTATCCTATCTCTGCTGCGGAGAACCGGGCAGTGGATGAGCAGTTTTGAGCAAGATCAATTGCGTTTATGGGGCTTTATGCACAAAACTAAGGAAAACCCACATTGTTTTGCCAGAGGTGAATGAGGCCAAACATGTGTGATTACGTATATGGCGCAGGGTCTGGTTAGTGAGTAAACGGCTAAGGAAAAAAAACTTCACGGAGCAGGAGATTGAGACCATTATGAACGAAGTGGGAAAAAGAATAAAGTCTTACTATTTGGAATTCTCAAAAGTGGCATCAAGGGGCTCAAAAAACAATATGGAAAGAATTGACAGCATCTGTAAACAGCGTGGGGCCTGCAACATGCACTCCTGAAGAGATGAGTTTATTCATGTTCGAAGAAAAATACGCTATATTATATCAAACAGCTGATATATTGGGCCAATAGTAAGAATTCATTAATTTATGCCACAAGTGAAAAAAAAAGGGAGCGACCTTAAAATGGTAACAATGGCGTTTAGCAGCTCATAGAAGAAGTGCTCAGCAGCGAAGGGGGAGGACCGCCAGACCAAAGCATCCAAAAGAAAATATAAAGAAAAAAAATGATTATGTATGTGATTATTATTTTAAAATGGCTGAATGAAGCCTGTCTGAGCTGTATAGGCCGAAGGCGGTGCTGGCCATGGTCTCTCATCCAGGGCTGCTCCACCAGTGGCACACTGTGGTCCTGTGCCTGTTGTGGAGAACCGAGCCAGGACCATGTGGCACACTTGTACCAGGAGGTACCAGAGCGTACCCCCTACATGTCCCAGAGCCTGATCAGACCCACGCAGCCACCACGGGGGCGTCTTTGCTTGGACCCGCATGAACCAAAGCCATTACGCACTGATTGTAGGTGATATAACAATCCACACATTTGTGAGAGACTAAGTTTGACATCTTGGAAGTTATTTAATAACACAAACTAGCCCTAACATAACATCGTCAAATTGCATATTTGTAATGTGAGAGGTGTGCCTATAATCTTGTCAGAGGGAATATGTAGATTTTTCTCCAAATCTTGTACTTCATGCGTGTTTTGGCGTGTTTTAATGAAGGTTGAAATGAGCGTACACATTTACACCACCTCCAGACCTGGTGTATATTCTGTGCGTATCGTACGCTCACGTCCAGATTGATAAATGCGGAAAAGTGTAAATATTTTTGCGTACGCCTCATTTACCCTGATTTGGCCGTACACAAGTTTCATACATGAGGCCCATTGTATCCAAACACATGATCTAAGAAAGTGATGTGTCCTGTAGATCTGACATTATTTGAGGGTTGGCCTCTAAGTTCGGATTTTAAGTGTAGACGTCTTTCATATTTACTTTATTTTGTTATGATTTGCCTCATGCATTTAATATGCCTCATCTACATGCATGAGGCATGATCTACATGCCTCATTCATGTAGATGACACTGCAGTTGGTGCTTTGGTCAAAAATGTTTTACTTTACTAGATAAAACCTTTATAATTTCAAACATGACTGTATAGGCTTGATAATCCTGAGTGAACCCCCTTTAGCTTGTTCTGGGCAATGAAATAACCTGTTTATTTCTGATTTAATGTTTTTTTTTTATAGAAAACATATGGAAGCCATGGTCTGAAGAGGAGGTTAAGGCAGTGGAAAGGACCCTGATGACTTTCATTCAAAATGGGAAAGTTCCTGGGAAGTCGCCCTGCACTGCCTGCCTTGAAGCTTCACCTGAGCAACTTAAAGATCGGACATGGTCAGGAATAAAATTCTATGTTAAAAATAGAATTTCTGCAATGCACAAGAAATGTGCTAAAAGAGTTTGACAGAGAAAGTTACACTGCGTTCAAAATCATTTAATAAAGTCAGAGACAGTTGGAGACAGACATTTAGAGACAGTTGGAGACAGAGACAGTTAGAGTCAGAGACAGTTAGAGTCAGAGACATTTAGAGTCAGAGACATTTAGAGACATTTAGAGACATTTAGAGACCGAGACATTTAGAGGCAGTTTGAGACAGTTTGAGACATTTAGAGGCAGTTTGAGAAAGTTGGAGAAAGTTAAAGACAGAGACAGTTAGAGACAGTTAGAGACAGAGACAGTTAGAGACAGAGACAGTTAGAGACAGAGACAGTTAGAGACAGTTGGAGACAGTTGGAGACAGTAGGAGACAGTAGGAGACAGTAGGAGACAGTAGGAGACAGTAGGAGACAGTAGGAGACAGTAGGAGACAGTAGGAGACAGTAGGAGACAGTAGGAGACAGTAAGAGACAGTAAGAGACAGTAAGAGACAGTAAGAGACAGTAAGAGACAGTAAGAGACAGTAAGAGACAGTAAGAGACAGTAAGAGACAGTAAGAGACAGTAAGAGACAGTAAGAGACAGTAAGAGACAGTAAGAGACAGTAAGAGACAGTAAGAGACAGTAAGAGACAGTAAGAGACAGTAAGAGACAGTAAGAGACAGTAAGAGACAGTAAGAGACAGTAAGAGACAGTAAGAGACAGTAAGAGACAGTAAGAGACAGTAAGTAAGAGACAGTAAGAGACAGTAAGAGACAGTAAGAGACAGTAAGAGACAGTAAGAGACAGTAAGAGACAGTAAGAGACAGTAAGAGACAGTAAGAGACAGTAAGAGACAGTAAGAGACAGTAAGAGACAGTAAGAGACAGTAAGAGACAGTAAGAGACAGTAAGAGACAGTAAGAGACAGTAAGAGACAGTAAGAGACAGTAAGAGACAGTAAGAGACAGTAAGAGACAGTAAGAGACAGTAAGAGACAGTAAGAGACAGTAAGAGACAGTAAGAGACAGTAAGAGACAGTAAGAGACAGTAAGAGACAGTAAGAGACAGTAAGAGACAGTAAGAGACAGTAAGAGACAGTAAGAGACAGTAAGAGACAGTAAGAGACAGTAAGAGACAGTAAGAGACAGTAAGAGACAGTAAGAGACAGTAAGAGACAGTAAGAGACAGTAAGAGACAGTAAGAGACAGTAAGAGACAGTAAGAGACAGTAAGAGACAGTAAGAGACAGTAAGAGACAGTAGGAGACAGTAGGAGACAGTAGGAGACAGTAGGAGACAGTAGGAGACAGTAGGAGACAGTAGGAGACAGTAGGAGACAGTAGGAGACAGTAGGAGACAGTAGGAGACAGTAGGAGACAGTAGGAGACAGTAGGAGACAGTAGGAGACAGTAGGAGACAGTAGGAGACAGTAGGAGACAGTAGGAGACAGTTGGAGACAGAGACCGTTACAGACAGTAGGAGAAAGTTGGAGAAAGTTAGAGACAGAGACAGTTAGCGACTGAGACTGTTAGAGACAGTTGGAGACAGAGATATTTACAGACAGTTAGAGACAAAGAGTGCCAACAAAAATAGTTGTTCACGTTAAAGTTATTAAAGTCGTTATCCAAGGGCTACAGCCCGGAACGTTTTTTGTTGAATTAATTAAAAAAAAGCCCTTGACAAAATATGAAGACTGCATTTTTGTGTCATTATGAAGCGCTTCCTCAGGTCCTGCCCCACAACATCATGTGTTACAGATCCCGTCTCTTTTATATCGTTTCCTAATTCTGTGTCAATATGAGTTCAACACAGAGAACAGCAGCAGCACTAACACAGACCAGGGGCGCACGGTGCAGCTCCACACCATCTCCTCCCACCTGCTTTTATTTCACACTCACTGTTAAGGCGTAAGGTCCGGTCTCAGGTCCAGGACTGTTGAGTCAGTTGAGGTTATGTGGAACTTTGATGAAAATAACATGCACGTTTCTCATGACCATCAGAACAGATCAGAGGCTCTGGTAAAACCATGTGGCTGTCACCATTCCACTCAGGCCCTTCATTATACCAGGAATGACACAAAATCATCACCAACAACATGAAATCATGACACGTAAACTTTCAGCCTTCACTTAGAGCAGATGAGGATGACCGGCCCCGCCTGGAGCAGAGTTGAGGTTGCGAAGATTGTAATGTATGCTTCCATGACTGTCCTCTTTGGAGTGATTCTCATACTGTGGCGTTCGTACATGCCAGATATGGTGAAGGGTAAACATACTCACATGATTATACGAGAGAAGCAAGAGTCTGTAAGGTGTTTCTGAGATTCAACTCTTACAAAATGATGTAAAACACATTGTAACATGTTTTAATGGACAGCAAGAGGGTTGTTGTTGGTGTAATGTTGGTGACCTTTATCTTCAGCAAAATCTAGTTTAAAAAAAGATTAGTTAATCAAAAAAAGGCTATAGCCCAGAAATAAGGTGACCTTATGGGGCCCAGTGGTGGGGGGGGGCATTGGGTCCCACAAAGTTGTGTTTTGTCAACATGACCAAAATCCCTAGTAATACTGAGAGTGTTGTTAGTTGTGTTTGACAACTTTGTTGAAAAAAAAATATAATGATTTTAGGATTTAAAACCATGTCTCCAGCACCTTCAGAAAGGGCGGACCCCACAAAACCCAGACTTAATCCGTGTGTATCGAAAAACTAAAGTGAGAAGTGTGTTGGCAAAAAAAAAAACATGATTTTAGAAGTTGAAACCATGTCTCTAGCTCATTTAGAAAGGGTGGATCCCAGAAGGCAGGTCCCTTTCATTGGACCCCACGATGTAGCAAAAACGGGTATGTGTGTGTGTGTGTGTGTGTGTGTGTCTTACCTGAGGCAAGCCGACGGCGCAGCACAGGGCGATGGTGATGCCGATGTTGTCGCCCATCCACAGGTTGACGGCGTGAATGCAGCCGCGCACGTGGATCAGCTCATGCAGCGTCTCTCTCTGTGCAACACGGCGGTCAGAGGAGGGCGAACAAGTCAAGCACAGATTTAAGGAGAAACACTAAGAAAACAGCAGAAACAAACTAGGTCTGATGAAGCCTTTTTTTTGTTCTGTTTTCAAGTTCTACTTAAAATATAAGAAATGTAGAACTTCAGAGTCACCCACTGTTCTTAACCAAAACTTAAGTAATTGTTATTCATCATTTGTTTTATCAGCCGTGGTATAATCAACGAGTGAGGTCACCTGTTGGTCCAGAGTCCTGTATCCGCAGAATGTGTTGATGACCTCTCCCACCTGCCAAGACAAAAGCAACATCAAGGACTTTGACATTTCAAAACATTGTTAAACATGTAGTGTCTAATAGTTAAAACACACGTAAACCACTGCCTGTATATCAAGGATTTTGTCCAGTTTTGGCATAAATGGTAACTTGATGAAAAAAGGTCACGCTCTGCCCCCAAACTCTGGAATCATCTTCACAAGACACTCGTGCAATAGTCTCCATCACCACATTTTTATCTCGAATCAAAACTGAGCTATTCAGACGCGCCTATCCCACATAATCCTCATATCTTTTTATAGAACGTCTGCCACTCCACACTGTATTTTACTTCTGGGCCTATAATGTGTGTTTTATACTGTTCTTATGCTGCCTGTGAGGTGACCGTGGGAATTTTGAAAGGCGCCCACCAAGAACATGTATTATTATTATTTTTATTATTATTTGCCTGTGTTCACAATATGCCACATTTTGAAAAGTAACCAACTTTATAATAGATATAGATAGATAGATGTATAATTGATCCCAAAGGAAATTGTGCATTGGTCCCTTGCTCACAAACATACAAACATAGGATAGAGTTAAAAGATACAAAATTCTAAAAAAAAAAGACAATAAAATGCATTAAAATCATTAAAAGAGAAGTTGAGGCACTGCAAGACAATTGTCAAGACCCCTCCCTCCCTGCTCCCCCCTACTCCTCCCTCCCTGCTCCCCCCGACTCCTCCCTGCTCCTCCCTGCTCCCCCCGACTCCTCCCTGCTCCTCCCTGCTCCCCCCTACTCCTCCCTCCCTGCTCCCTGCTCCTCCCTCCCTCCTCCCCTACTCCCCTACTCCTCCCTCCCTCCTCCCCTACTCCTCCCTCCCTCCCTCCTCCCCCCTGCTCCCTCCCTCCCTGCTCCCCCCTACTCTTCCCTCCCTCCTCCCCCCCCTCCTCCCTCCCTACTCCTCCCTCCCTGCTCCTCCCTCTGCTCCTCCCTGCAGTGACTTCGTTATAGAGCCTGATGACGTTGGGGACTTAAGAGTTTTTGAGCCTGTCCTTGGAGCACCTCAGAGAGACGAGTCTGGAGCTCATGGTGCTTCTCTGGCGGGAAAGAAATGAATTTGGATATGGCGGATTAGTTTTCTCATGGCATCGGCCCACACACACAGAAACTGGTCTGGATTCTGTTCTAAAAGCAGTGTCAGTATTATGCCAACAAAATGATAATAATGATTTAACAAAAAAATACATTTAGCTTATCCCCAGAGACAAGAGTTTTGAAAAGCAAAATGAATAGGACAACAACATGCGGTCTTCTAAATCTAAAAAGAAAATAATGTTATCGTTGGCACAGAAGGAGCCCTGTCGTTCAGTTATAGCATTTTGGACTTAGTGCTGGACTGGCTGAGCACGGCTGGCTATCTCTACTTCCCATTTCTGTCTCACAAAGCTATTCAAAAGCTGCAAAAAAATCACCAATGCAAAACTAGTGATTGGCCAAAATATTTTGAAATCTGGAAACAAGTTATAATTGTTATGAATTCACATAGTTTCACTTTTCTTTTTACTGAGACTGCTTTTAGACCAGAGTCCAGACCAGTCCCTGACCCAGTGACGCATGAAGCTAAGTGTGTTAGCTAAAACTAATCCACCATCTCCAATCTGAGGAGCTGGGAGCTATGGGCCATGAGCTTCTATAGACGCTGCACAAGATTCAGATCTTTGTCCTGAATACATACAAACTGATTTCTGTACGGTGTAGAGTGGATTTAAGATATCGGTCCAGTAGGTCCAGTTCACCGTCTCCATTCTGTTCACAAACTGATACAATAACATCTGGTCATCTTCATGTGGAAGGTTTTCTGTTCTTATAGAAATGATCCTAACAAATAGATTTCAATCAACATATTGTATGATTTTGTGTATTCTTTCCAGTTACTGGAGACAACTAGTTGCAAGGCGGCTTTTGGCAACTGAGAGTAGATGATAAACAGTCGATCTCCAGATTCAGTCAGTTGCCCGTGTTCTACTTTTCGGCAACTAGTAGTACTAGTAGATCCGGAGATATGACCCGATGTGCGCGCTCCAACAACATGTGTGTATTGCGTGTATTGCGCCCTCTACAGTTTATGTCAGAAAACACACTGTAGTTGAGGCCAGTTGCTGTCGATGTTTGCGCTGTTATTCCTGAGACTGGTCTGCTACAGGAGTTTGTCGATGTGTGCGGGGCAGCAACTCATAGGCGACGGATATAACCAGTTGCCAGTCCGATGTACGCTGAGACCTGTGAACGATCAGAACTGTACTCTCAGTACCTCTGAACTGCTCAGAGCATAGACAGAACCTCAACAAGGGAGAGATTTGACCAAAAAATCATGTACATTTTAGAACATGTTGGGAGGTAACTAAACTCCAAAGGAAAAAATAATTGTATATAAATACTGTTACGTTTATGTATTAATATGTTTCAATGAAGATTGATTAAATATTCATCAGGGACAGACACTATTGGATGATGGGAATAATTGGTCAACTAATCGATTATCAAACAAATGGTGAAAATAGTATTATTCAGAGTCTTTTATCGTCCCTGATTATTTCAATCCAACCACATCACCTTCATCTGAATCAAACACGACAAGTCATCTTAAAACCATCTGAAAGGTTTCCTCTTCTTCCACCGCTGCCCAGACTGGCTGCGTACAGTGGGGACAGTATGAGGGAGGCCCCAGGGGACCCACGTCTCATTTGGAGCTGAAGCCACCTCAAGCCTTGATAACTCTGCAACACTTCCTCCGTTTGGGGACCAGGGGCAGCGCTCAGACATTCAGCTCCAGATCTTCTCTGCACTGAGACTGGACTTCACAATGAGTGCTTTTGTTTTGGAGCAAATGTTGTGGTTGTATTTGAGCACAAATTAACCCATTTCCATAGCAGACCTATCACAGACAAATGTACTCTATATTGAGTAAGTAAGTAGAGTACATTTATAGACTAAGTAAGTAGAGTACATTTATAGACTTTTAAGACATTCCTCATTTCATTCCTGATGTGTTGCCCAAAACAAAATAACTTCTAGTCTGAAATGTGATCTACCATACAACAAGCTGATAACCCCAGTAGAGCTGAAACAATTAATCTAATTACTCAAATAATTTGATAATTAACAGTAGTCGACTAATTAAAGCTGCATCGATGCTTCGTATACGGTCGTTTATTTACTGCATTTTTCTTTGTTTGCTCCATAGACTTTTCTCACGTTTTGCACAGATTCTTTTTGTGTTGCGCAACATATTTACTCATATTAGCTCTTACATGCCCTGCGCTACACAGCACCAGTCTGCATGCATCGTATTCTCTAGTGTTTGTAAAACTTTTTTGCGGACAATGCGTTGATCTATTATATTATCAAGGTGGTTCTATATTGCATATCATAATTATTGCAGAGATGCACAACATGTGAGGAAAGCAGTGTTTATCTAATTTAGGACATATTGAATCTGGAAGAGGTGTGTGATTGACATTTAACTTCTGCTTTTCCCTGTCTTTCAGTAAACCATCAGAGCCTGTTTAGGACCAGTTCCTGCTCCCAGCACCAGCAGCTGTTCTGACAGAGAGCCTTTTAAACATGCTGCTCAGAGACATGCGCCTCATCTGATTCTGTTCAATCTGGAAGGACTCAAAAATCAACCGTGCTACAGGTGCAATCCCCGCTGCCTTGTCTTCATTTGATGATATGAATGCAATAAACTATCAAATTTAAAACTCATTATTAAATGGTTTTCATTTGATGTTGTATTTTTTTTTTTTTTTAATCGATCGGAGTATTCGATAGAACCACCGAAATTAACCAAACTTAACCCTGAGCTTTTGAGGTTAGACATAGATTGAAAGAATCTGCTGCGTTTCCTGTATTCTGTACTTTTCATTTTTACTGGTGAGCTGAATTTGAATGTCCAATATTCTTACAAAGACAGAGAAGCTTCTTGAGGTCAGCTTTGAAATGGCCATTGTATCCTGCGATTAGCTCAACACACTCTGCTGCCAATAGCCCTGACCTGATTTTGTTGTACGAGACACAAAACTGACAAACTGCCTTTGCATTTGCATTGAAAGACGGTTCTGTGAAAGGGTTTGATCATCAATATGGCCTGTTTTTATGGGCGTCTGTCCTTGTGATTGAGATTACTTTAGTCCAGCTAATGCGGCCGCTGTGGCAGAGTTCATACCAAGGCCAGTTTTTATCAGGGCGAGAGTGAGAGTGAGAGAGAGAGAGATTACAACATTATGGATCAAAATGCAAATATCTATTCTTTATTTTATACCAAGAAGACATTTCATTGGTTTAAATGTTTGTAAATGTGGTCGGAATGGCTTACTTATTACGCTAACATTTATTTTTCAGGATATTCTATCGTTCCTATACCTCTCAAAACAGTTTAGTCCAATCACTAGTCATCACCAATTGTATGTTTTTTTTAATTCTGTCACATCTTACAATTTAAAAAAGGCAAACAAATTTTAAAAAAAAGTTACTTGTTGCATATTTTAAATATAACACACGTCGATACACTTATATTTTCTGTGATTTTTGATTATGTGTTTGAGCCAGAATAATTGGCTTTAGGAATTAGGGAGTGTAGACCAAAGGGGAGGAATGCAGGGGAGGAGAAGGATGGGATCCAGAGACCGGAGTCCAAGACCAAGACCAGACCAGAGTCCGAGACCAGTCCAGATGACGTGAGCGGCACTTCTTGTTTCTTTCTACATGAAACTGTTCTCTTCGTTTGGTTAGTCAGTCACATAGGGAGAGACCGCAGGGATAGGAGCTCTTGAGTTTTGTATTTTATTGTAAAGATAATAAAATACTGTCCGTCTTAATTTTAGACAATATACTCCAGCTTCTAAAAAGGTACACATGATAGACCGGGGGTATTCAACTGGCAGCAGCTTTTCATTCCAACCAAGCAGGAACACACCAGACTCTAAAGGTCTCCAGGTAAAGACTGGACTCAGCTGAGGAAATGGGTGGAGCCTGGTGTGCTCCTGCTTGGTTGGAATGAAAACCTGCAGCCACACTGGGACTCTGTTATGTACAACAACAACAAAAACATTAGCAAAGTATAGCCTTTCTTTGTTTTTCAACTCAAACTTTGAAACTGATTGGAGTAGAATAACAGACTGCTTCTATTTGTGGGGGGAAAAAAAACAGCACTCACTTTCCGACGCACGCAGCAGGTGTAAGGAACCCCGCAGGCCAACGGACCGGTGCCGTTGCAGAAGTGGTATTGGTTCACTCCCCAGTCTTTGTACTCATCGCCTCCACAACAGGAAAACTGAAAGGCAATACATGTATGGTGAGCTATATCTACTATTGACCTGCTTCTACTGCACATAACGAATAACATCACACACTTGACAAACAGTTTTCTATGGACGGCCACAGATTGTAAACGTGTCTGAGAAGAAATGGCCTTACTTTGTCTGGATTGTTGCATTATACAGCTGGAAAGTGAGTACAAGCTAAAAGGTGTTCTTGAACGTCTGCACCCCCCGACTCATGGTTTTGACCGTGTTTCGGAGATCCTTAATTAAACAAAACACTGATTGTTCTCCCGTCGCCAAACTCCACCCTCAGCTTTACAAATCAGACATTGCACTTTTGGTTCAAAGCATTTTTGGAGGCGTTTTATTGTGTTGTATGTTTTTCACTTCCAATGTGAATGTCCTGTGTGTATGTGGCTATGGGTGCATATGGTTGTGTGAAGCCATGTATATTTGCCTAATAAGTTGGGTTTCCATTGTACAATCTGTGGAGAGGTCAAATGTTCAGTAGTGCACATTTACGTTTGCAGGAACAGGAGGGTTTTTGACCAAGAAGAACAGTCAACTTTACCATCAGAGAGAATGAAGAACGTCATCCACAACTACCACACAAAACTCGATCTGTCATTGATGTTAAATGGGTAATAAACACTATTGACAACTGGGGTGTGGAGACTTCTGGTCAGGGACATTTGGGGAGCATATGTAGTCGTTTCTGTCTGGGGGTGTTGTTTCTGTATGTGGTCTGTAGTCTGTCTGGGGGTGTTGTTTCTGTATGTGGTTTGTAGTCTGTCTGGGGGTGTAAACGTTCAAGCCAGACTGTACCTGGAAATGTTTAGCACGTTTTGGTTTAGGACCCTTTACTTTGAGATTACCGTTCCAATGAGACATGGTTTTGGTACCCTGGTCTCCGTGGGGAAACACAAGATTAAAGATAAGATGAACCTTTATTAGCCTCACCGTGGAGAAATTTCAGTGTCATCGTTGTGCACATTACAGCAGAGAAAGGAAATAAGAGCACTCAGATTGCACACATCAAATAAGTCTATTATTTAAGAAAATAGACAATAAAATGGATAAATGAATAAAGTGGAGATACTGCAGAGATGCAAACTTCCTGACAAAAGCACTCTTTGATGAGATACTGTGGGACATTGGAAGCAGAGGCTACAGTAGGAAACCTATCAGCACAACTGTACAAACACCAAGTACTTTTGTTATAAATAAATGTTCTTTTCAAAAAGGTAGACAGATTAGATAAAGGACATATCACATTTGATCACACAAAGGCTGAATAGATGTGAGTATAAAGCCAATGCTTTGAAAAGGTTAACATTTATTGCAGATAAGTAATGAAACATAACTCAGATAATGCAGAGGACCTTTCAGAGAACCTCTGTCAGCTGCAGACACCACGTTTCTGCTGCAATGAACCACTTATAGCCTTTAAGATTTAGTTTGAATGCAGTAATGAAGAAATGTCATAAATATAAATGGTGTGGTTACAAGACCGGATAACTTATGAGTCTGTGTATTGAAAATAGAGACATCCGATAATGTATTGCTGCAGAATGCTGAAGGAACAGTTCATTTAAAAGCGGTTTCGACAGGTCAAAAATAAAGGCCTCTAGATGAAGAACACATTTTACTTGTATAGCATTGTGGCATGTATTTCACACAGGAATCTATAACACAATGTATTTCACAAGGAACTGGGGAAAACTCATGATGCCAAACAGTATGACCTGTAATTAGACCTGCAAACTCAGCCAGAGAAAAAAAGTCACACTAACCTGCTCGCACGCAGCGCCGAAACAAACATCTGCTAATAATTCTAGTCAATTTATTCCATGTTTCAAAAACCATAATTGGCTTGAAAATTGTTACATTTCCCTGCTCCTGTGTGACTCACCTTCTGTTGCACGTAATCCAGGATATTTTTGAAGTCCAAGTCGTCGTAGTAGTGTTTAATGCCCTCTCGAATACTGCTCTGGAACAAGGCAGACGTCTGCAGCAGAGAAAGGGCAAAAAGAGGCCTTTGTTGTTGAAGTCTGGCTCCTGGACACTAAGTTGATTTTAAAGCCTTTCTTACCTTTTTCTCAAAGATGAGCGCGGTGGTGAGAGCGACAGCCTGAAGGAGCAGCAACACGCACAGAACACAGAGAAACTGTAGAAACAACAAACGTTAGGTCAGCAAAGTGGTGCTGCATTGTATTTGTATGAAATGTAAAGGAAAACAATGGCAGTAATTATGTGTATTCACTGAGACATGGATCAAATTATGTTTATTTGGTGATGAGTTCATAACAGCAAGAAGTGACCTTATACTGTAGTTCACATGTCATTATTCATTCACTTCATACATGACGGTGATAAACTATAACTGCAGCCACAGCCGCCCTGGGGCACACCGACAGAAGGGAGGCAACCAGTCTGTGCCATCAGCCCCTCCAACCACCTCCGCCCATTTACACACACACCAGACTCATTCTATTCTATATGTAAGTGAAGTGTCTTGCCCACGGAGACAGCAAATAATCTGCCCCACTGAGGCACCTGGTGTTCCCAGAGGTCTCCCATCACTGTAGCAACCAGGCCCTACCCTGTTTAGCTTCAGGAGGTCTGACAGAGTTTGGCTTACACATGCAGGTGATGCCACATTATTGAAAACAATTTTAGTAATGGTCTCACGGGTTTTTGACTGAGATTTGAACATTAAGACGTTTTATGACTATGCTGGAAGAGATGATGTAAGTAATGTTTATTTATATAGCGCATTTTACAGACCAAGGTCGTCATAAGCGCTTTACAATGTTCAGAGTCAGATATTGTTCCAATCATTCCACACACGGTGATGACAGAAGCGAGTCCAGAACATCAGCTCCAATCAACACCATCCATTCACTCTCTCATGTACATTCAGACCTATTGTGCATGTTTTTAGTGGTAGGGGAAACCGGAGCACCCGGAGGAAACCTACGCAGACACGGGGAGAACATGCATACTCCACTCAGAAAAGCCCTGTTCCGACCGGGATTCGAACCCAGAACCTTCTTGCTGAGAAGCGAGAGTGCTATCCACTCAGTCACCGTGCCGCCATGTGTCCAAAAAGTATTATTTATGAAGAAGTTCAAGTGGAGCTCATTGGAATCACTTTGGCTTTAAAACACCTTAAATACAAGCTTTTTATTACTAGACTGGCTGAGGTTAAATATTTCTGTGTTTCTCCATTTTATCAGAAGTCTGCACGAGGGGCATTAAAACAGTGTGGAGGAAGTCATTACCCATGAGTGACTCTTCTGAATACGTTCTGGCATAATCCTCCCACACGGTCCACACACTCTGACACCAGCTCTGAACCTCTTTCTTGGCCAAAGTAATTATGAACCAAAAGCAGTGATTTTCCATTTGGGGACAAAACTATTCCACTATTTCAGCATCTGTTGCCCGTCAAAATCACAAAAGTCGAATTATAAAAAGGCTTTTTCTAATTCCTCGAAGCTATACCCAGATTTCTTTCACTTAATATTGGTTTCTTGTAATACAGAAGATTTCCCTAAAACTAATTAGATCTCATGGAATTGTTCATTTTGTACGAGCAATGGGAATCACTGAAAACAAAAACAAAACTAGGCCCATATCCCAATAGTCCAATCACTACATACTATTCACAATAAAAAAGCTACAAATGTGGCAGTAACCATGAGAAGATCTAATAGAGCCGTCTATACAAGAAGCTTTAAACCTATAGCACATGTAAATATGCAACAAAATGGGCAGTAAAAACCCAACGTTTTTACAACTAAACTTATCTCTTTACCCATTACAGAACAGAATGGAGAACTGTTAACTTTGAAGAAACAGGTGAAATGAACAGTGCATTTAAAAGTTCAAATAAAGCTGCGTTCATAGACATATTTGTTTGTGTGTTAGATGTGCGGGCCGCGGGGCAGAGAGAGTTTGTGTCCCAAAGTGTGGAAAATGCAAGTCAAGAATAAACCCGGCCTGAGCGTCACTCGTCTGTATCACATCAGGGGTGGGAACCTCAGGGTACCTCACGATACGATACGCGATACAAAGCTCACAATAACAATTATATCACGATTATCGATATATTGGTCAGAAATAAACTGTTATAGAAATCTTTCAGTAAAGCAATCTGAATAAACAGGAAATAGTTATAAGTGTAAGTTAGAGCTGCAACTAACGATTATTTTGTAATCAATTAATCTATCAATTATTTTTACGATTAATCGAGTAATCGCTTGGCTGTGAATTGTGTAGAAAAAAAAACATTTTTCATCACAAAAAGCTAAAGTGGCAACACTCGAGGACGTATTAATGGCGTAAACTTAAAGTAAATGTTTGTAACTGGCTCTTTGTGCTAATTCTGCTCTGATTGGATGAGACAGACAGATATTCATGAAATTATAAAAACAAAGTCGGTTTTAATCAAAAATACTACATTTTCATGTCATTTTTGCTCTGTTTGAGTCCGTGTGAACCAGAAAATGATTAATCGATTACTAAAATAGTTGTCGACTATTTCAATAATCGATTAGTCGTCGATTAATCGATTAGTTGTTTCAGCCCTAGTGTAAGTTATTAACTAATTCTCAACTCTGGATTCAAATACAGCACAAATGGTCTGTTGGCAGCAGGTCAGCTGATCGATGGAGATGTGCTTCTTTGGCAATATCTGGGTCATAGAACAATATGTTGCGTAATGTAGCCATATATTGCACGTTGATACTAATATATATATATTTTTTTTTTAAATTGATACTTGGCAAAAGCATATCGATAATCGATTGCGTGAGAAAGTATCATGATACATCACAATATCGATATATCGTCACACTCCTATTTAACATTGGTTCAAACCAGACAACCATATACTCTTCTCTCTATCCAAGTACTATTACTAGTTACTACTGAGATATATATTCAGAGTACCAAAGCACGTTAGTATTTGGTTGTGTAGTCGCTCAATTCTTATTTGGCGACTAATTATTATTTAATATTATTGTATCATTATTATATTAACAGAGTGGGGTTGGTCAATTTTTTCCCATTCTTTATTGACCTCAATTTTCGATTGGATTTGTGTTGTTATTGAAATTTGATGTATGCATTACACAGAGTCCAAACACTTATTCAATTAAATTAAGCATTTTTAAGCCAAACGTTGTGATTGGCAAATGAAGAAAAGTAATGAATCTGTGTGTCCCTGGGTCAATGTTTGTATCCAAAAGTTTAGGAGAAAGAACAAATCCTTCTCTTCAGTCCTCCTTCAGTGCCTTTTGATTTTTATGCCCATCATCAAGATTGAAATGTCGAGATTGTAAATTTTCCACAGCCCTATTATGAAGCAAATTAGCTGATTAGTTTTTAAAGAACTCTAAATCCCATTTTTATCCGAAGCTTTCATGAGTAGAAATCCAATGAGTGTGTCAACATAGTTTGGAGAGTCCTACTGTCTTCTTAGTCCATCAAGCATTTCTTTGCATCCCGAGTGGTCTTATGCCCCGTTGCCAAGCTATTAACAGAAACGACCAGGCTCCTAATGCAAATACAAAGATGAAAAACGATGTAGTTCTAGCGCCCGGCCAGTAGTGGGCAGAGGAACTTTACACACGCCCCCCCAGCAGTATACTCACTTCCTCAACAACACCCTCCTCAGCCCTCCGCAAATATGTGAAAGAATGAACCAACATCATTCTGCATTTCAACAGCAGCTGCAAAAATAGAAACTGAAACTAGAGCTTTGCGTGGTCTCGTTTGGACGAACAAAGGAGACTGGAGACTTTTGCTAATGTATTCCAATGTGGTTTTTTTACTGCAAATGGCAAAATAAACTGAATCTGAATCTGAAAGGAGTAGCATTGTCCTCTGTGTAGCGCTCGCAGCACATGTAGCTAGTTAGCGTACCCGCCGGGATTGTTGTTTACGTTTGTTCTCAGCTACTGCGCATGTCCAAATGTACGTGCGGGGAGCAGTGGGGAGGTGGGAGTTTGAGCAGCAGAGAATTCACACCTTCTTCCCGCGGGTGTGAAAGAGAGCCCCTGCTGAGCAGCGTATCTGAGGCCCAGTTTACACGGAGAAGCTGCAGCAGTAAAACACTATAGTTGTATGCAGGTTGCTACCCCCCGTTTATACAGAGACTGTTTTCCAAGGGGGTGAAAACGTAAGAGTTAAGATCCAGCCTGCAGAGTGGGACAGCTCAGGCTGAGTTTACACAGAGACAATGTGGCAGTAAAACGGTATAGTTGGATGTCGGTTTCTACCAACCGTTCATACGGAGACTGTGTTCCAGGGGGGTGAAAACGTAAGTGTTTAGATCCAGCCTGCAGAGTGGGACAAAAAAGTTTCTCTGCCCACTACTGGCCGGGCGCTAGAACTACATCGTTTTTCAACCTCATGTGAACGCTGAGAAATTTGCATTAGGAGCCAGGTCGTTTCTGTTAATAGCCTGGAAACGTCTGCGCAGCGTCTCTGTATAAACAGGGCCTCAGATACGCTGCTCAGGGGGGGGCTCTCTTTCACACGAAAGGTGTGAATTCCCTGCCTGATCTGACCCCCACCTCCCCGCTGCTCCCCGCACGTACATTTAGACATGCACAGTAGCCGAGAATAAACGTAAACAACAATGGCGGTGGGTACACAAACTAGCTACATGTGCTGCGAGCGCTACACAGAGGAGGATTCTACTCCTTCGTTTGTCCAAACGAGACCACGCGAAGCTCTAGTTTCAGTTTCAATTTTCGCAGCTGCTGTTGAAATGCAGAATAATGTTGGTGCATCTTTCACGTCTTGCAGAGGAAGTGAGTATACTGCTGGGGGGGTGGGGGGGTTCGCGTGTGTTGTGTTGTAAAGTTCCTCTGCCCACTACTGTCCCGGCGCTAGAACTACATCGTTTTTTCAACCTTGTATGAACGCTGTGAAATTTGCATAAGGATCCTGGTCGTTTCTGTTAATAGCCTGGAAACGTCTGCGCAGCACCTCCCTATAAACAGCCTGAGCTGTCCCACTCTGCAGGCTGGATCTTAACGCTCACGTTTTCACCTGAAACAGTCTCCGTATAAATGGGGGGTAGCAACTATAGTGTTTTACTGCTGCAGCGTCTCCGTCTAAAAATATCCACCCGCCCCTTCTGTCTAAATGACTATGAATGAGGTTGGTCCACTTGTAATACCAGGTCTATGGTTGCGAGCCGAGACTCCGAGACTCCCTCCCCCCTCCTCACCATGTGCAGCAGAGTCTTGTTGTCCCGTAGCGATCCCACCATGCCCACCAGGGACACGGTGAACATGACCAGCCCCAGGAGGATCAGCACCACAGCGGGGGCCAGGAACAGCCCCTCCAGGGTCCGGTTCTTCTGCCTCTCCACCTCAGCGTAGACCCCCACACACAGCACACACAGGCCCACCAGCTGCAACGCAAACGCACACAGTCAGAGCCTTTGAAATCATCAGTGTGGAGAAACACGTTAGCAAAGCGTGAGATCCATTTTGTGCAACTTTCTGATGTGTGTTTTAAAAAGAATAACGACCCGGAGCAATATCCACAGGAGTCAGAGGGTTAGTGCGGTTACAGCATGTTTTGAAGCTTAGTGAATGTGCAGTTTGAGAGACTTTGATGCTTTTGGTGTGGAGGAGAAAAAGCCTCATCCAACACACCTACACTGTCAAAAATCAACTGTCAAAGCCTCTAATAAATGTTCTTTAAGCAAAGTTAGTTTTGCCCCAGAGCTGATACGTCGCAAAAGTCTAGTGCAGTCAATAATGGTTTGTTTACAATAGGGCTGTAACAAATGAATTGATTTATTGATTGATTAGTTTATGTTTAATAAACCCCACATAGAGTTACTTACAATCCAATGTGTAGAAGTCCTCTCTATGAAGATGTTCTTCAGGGGAATCACTTTATTTTGGTCAAACGCATTAAAAAGTATTCAATATTCACTGATCTTTCCGGATCTAAATAAATCGATTAAACTAAAGAATAATTGGCCATCTAATGAATGATCCAAATAACACTGCAGAACTGGGTTTTTGGGCTGTGTTGAAATGCCGCCTCGACCTGGGAAAGCTCGCTGTGTCGTTTCAACCCATGTTGGCTTTTCACCACAGGGAGGACTGGAATGTGTCAAACTAAAAGTTTTTTTGTAACTATTTTTCCTGATTTATCCACAACAGTGGAGCTGAAATCAAAAGCTAGTTCATCCTGCTGTGCCTTAAGAGCCACAGAGCAGTAACTAGTTGAAGTTTGCCAACGCAGGTCAATTTTCCTGCAACCTTTGATGTTTTAAAAGAACACATTCTGCAAAAGTGACTTAAACCATTTTCCACTATTTCTCCCCTAACTCCGTTGATATAGTCTCAAATAAGATAAATACAACATTTGTTCACAAAATGTCACTAATTTATGAAACAAGAACAAGTTTGGTACACCAGCTTTAAGGGCTGGAGTACCCAAAAATAACAATAAGTAAATGTTATAAGCTTTTAAATGACGACAAATTGAGACATGAAAACTGGATTATGGGGATTCTGGTGGATTCCAGCAGAATCCAGAACAAGTTGGATCTGGGCCTTAGTGCAGAAATAAAACAGTCCACATTAATCTGGAACAATCTTCCTGAAGATGTGAGACAGGCCTCCTCTCTGACAATGTTTAAAACCAGGTTAAAAACGGTGCTGTTTAGCTGTGCATACAACTGAGGGATTTTATATGTTTATCTTTCGTTTTAATGTTCTGTGATTATTTATGATTTTAATGCTATCTTGTTCAGCACTTTGAGTTGCCTTGTGTATGAATTGTGCCTTGCCTTGCCTTGCCACATTACACCCAGATCCGCCGTTGTCCTATTTGCTTTTCAAACACGCATGAGTAATGTAGATTCACTAGACCACAGGCCGCCTCCGGCTCAGAGTCCACGCAGAGCCCGCTGGATGTTTTGGGGTTAGGGTTTGGGATTAAATGGGAGTTGGTGTAGTATGACCACATCATTACGGAGCTGAGTGAAGCTGTGTGGCTTTCGGAGCCGGTGGACAGGACGTTAAATCACCATGCCTTTCTTAGAATCACTATCTTTAATTAGTTTGACCTTCGTCTCCGATACAGGCAAAATGAATCCAGAACCACCACAGAGGTAATGCATCTAAAGCCGGACCAGGCTGTGTGAGGACTTACCAAAACACTTAGAAAAGAAAAGCAGATCATCAAAGCATGTCTGACAATATCATTTATTTTTTCATTTCATAGCACTTTAAAGAAGCTATACCCATTTTTTTTTCTATCGAGTTAATAAAAATCTGTATAACTACATACAAGTTGTATTAAAAACTGTACTTTAATTGAAAACTTGAGCTCATTGATTCAGCTGTGTATGAATTCAGGCCGTAAAAAGTGCTGAGTAGAGACTTCAGTGTGACGCCCGCTCTCCTCCAATCACAGAACGAGGCTGCGTCCTCTAGCCTCTACAGCGCTGCTAGACACAGTAGCATGCTAGCATAAGTGGCTATAACTCCTCTGGCTGTAACTGCAGACTCAGCAAAACAGCCCAAACCACACAACAGTGAGGAAGAGAAGAGGGAACTAAAGCCAAAACATGATCAAAGAAGAAACCAAGCCCAGGTGAACATAGCTAGCTTACATCGTATCCTCTGGAGAGACTTGTCTATGGGAGAGACCTGCGGGACCGCCTCGGACTATCTACGCTCGGACTATCTATGCTCGGACTATCTATGCTCGGACTATCTGTGCTCGGACTATCTATGCTCGGACTATCTACGCTCGGACCATCTACGCTCGGACCATCTACGCTCGGACTATCTATGCTCGGACTATCTACGCTCGGACCATCTACGCTCGGACTATCTACGCTCGGACTATCTACGCTCGGACCATCTACGCTCGAACCATCTACGCTCGGACTATCTATACTCGAACCACATTCGGACGCGGAACTAGCTGTAATCTTTCAGTTATACATTGTGTTAGCAGTGCGTTGCTTTTGTACCATTTCATCAGTGATTGTTGAACAGCTTAAGTTGCGCTAATGGTAATGTTTACATACGTATCAGATCGCAAATACAACTAGACGGCTCCGTGGGATGAGAGCGTAGGGGACATGAGAAGCCTGTGAGCGAGTTGGGGGCGGGGCTAAACATTCAAACCTTGCAGAAACGGCTATAGCTCCTTTAATGAAGTATGAATGTGAAATTTTTCTTACTTTTTCTTGTATTTAACACACAGAATTTTACACGTAGGGCAAATAGAAAGGAATGGACGTGGAGAATGTCGTCATACTTCTAGGAAACGTATCATTGGCAAACAAATTAGACCTTTCTATTGTGCTATTAATTATATTGCTGTTTTTCATGTGGTATAGAGGTTAGAGGGGGTAGATGAAGTTGAGAGAGTGCATTAGTGTTTGAATGCATATGTGAGGCCTGGGCGTACATTTGAGCTATTGATTGTCAATAGAGAAACTGAGGCAATCTGCACTAAGAGAAGGGCCTGGTGTATCTACAGTCTACCTCAGTCTCACTTAATGCTCTCCATAAAAGCACCATACATTTGGCTCCAGTCCCACCACCACAATTTAAACTGGACGAGTACCGGCTATTATCTGCAACTGGTTATATTTAGGCCAGTGGTAACAGGACTAAAAGGCTTTACTATTTAAAGGCAATGTAGTGCACACAGAGGCCAATGTGCAGTATTAAGATGTTACTGTTTTTGTGTGACAGCCAGTGGGTCCCCAGGAGTGACTAACAACCAGGGGTGTTCATGGTGAGCTGGTTCATCTGCCAAAGCTGCTGAGTGAGAACATGCTAACCACGGACATTGGTCAGGGCTGAACAGGGGAATGATTCCTGCATCAGGTTCAGGGTTACTCTTTCTGTACCCGCGGGTATTTTTGTCAATTTTAATGTAAATATGCCGTTTACGTTGTCTCTGCTGCGACTCCGCCTGGGGGTACAACACTGGCAACAGTCTGACTTGTTAATGTTTTAAAATAGGTATGCAATGTTAAATTGAATGAATCTTTGGCGGTAAATTGGTTAATAAATGTATCTTTAATTTATTTTAAATAGACTATCCCTAACCTCAGAAAATCTATTCTTAAAGTAATTGGCCGCAAAAAAATGATGGGAGTTGCATAACTAAATTGCATACATACATTTTTATGGTTTATTATGAACCAATGCAAGATTTTTTCCCCCAGGTATCGAAAAGACGATAGGCTCTGCACACCTGTAGGTGACAAGAGCATAAGACCTGGAAATCTCACTTTTGCATTGTAAAAAAAGACCTGATTAAGGTCAAGGAGAGCGAAACGTTGCATTAAAACCTGGAACGAGGGAGACAGTGTGCAGGAGCTTTTCCCCCAGGTATCGAAGCAATAAATGGTGTGATATTTTAAGGACTCAAAAGCCTAACATGAGCAGTTTCTCTCTTATCATTTAAAGAAGAAAACAGTAAAAAAATGTCAATGCAATTTCTTTAGACATCTTCTGAAGATGCGTTGAAGATGTGGTAACACTTAAACACGTGTGTATAATGTTAAGTAATCATTGAATAACTATTTATACAAATAATCAGCTTTATTACTAACTAATTTGTAAATGTTTAGGTCATTATTACTTTTTAATGAATAAATGATTTAGTACTCAGTTGAATAGTGTTCATAATCACAAATAGATGATTTACTCATGATTCTTAGTTAATATATGTTCAACATTAATAATCAAACATTACATAAAGTGTTACCGCAAATTGTATGTGGTTCACAGTAAAAATGGGAGCGATCTTCCAAAGACAACGGAAATATGATCAGCTGATTTATTGTAACAGGGTAAAGAGCAAACACAATGACATTTGGTTTAATGTGTGTTTACTTTCAACACAACGTTCTCAAATGCATGTTCACAGATACTACACAAAGAAATGTGATTCATTGTTTCAGCCCTATATACTTAAACATGTATTTTCAGGGAAGACATGAGATTGCTTTAACCACTTTAAGGTTGTAATGAATGGGTTTTAATGGTATACCAATAATGTCTTGTTCTTTTTGTTTATTTATTTGAATGGGACAGTGCATGTCAATGAGTTTCTTCACAAGAAAACTAATAAGTGCTAAAGAAGCTCATATTCCTTTACAACACATGCTTTTTTTCCTTCAATTCTTTCTATTCCTCTTTTGAATTCATTTTAATGGATACATGTATTGAGGTCAAATGCACAATAAACAATAGTTTTTAGGAAAGGGAATTGGTTTGATGCTGGTTTGCATCTATAGCTCCTAGACAGGTGCATGTTATATATGTTTCTTGATGCACATGGTGTGTCAGACATGTTCCAGTCAGGTTTTAAAAGTTTGCATAGCACTGAATCGTCTTAAAACCCACTTTTATTCTCTGGCCGCGTGAGTTGTGTGGTCCCTGTGTCTTTTTAATTTTTTTTAGTGTTTTATGATTTTTATTGATTTTATAAATTGATTATTTATTTATTTATTTGTTATTCTATTTTTTGTGTACTTTTTTGTGCAGCACTTTGGAACTGTTCTGTTGTTTAAATGTGCTATAGAAATAAAGTGGATTGGATTGGATATGTTGATTTCTTTACCAGCTGATGAAGGATAACAGATGTAAATAATAATAAACACATCTCAAAACACATGATATGAAGATGGTTTACTGACCTACTAAAGAGAATCCCATTTCTACGGCCCGCAAGAAAACACCAAGAATGTAGACGCTATGCCTTTAAATGTCTCCAACGCCCCACACCCAGAGTCAATGATGCTATTGTTATAATCTAACAATAAATCCAGTTTATGAAGCCAAAATGAGCTATATCTAGTACAGATTACATGTAACCGTGGACTTTAATCGCTGTATGAGCATTTATCAGCCTGTAACAATGCGATAAATGTCATGTTAAGGCTAGCTCTGCATCCACTGCTAGCATCGCATCTGCTTCCATTATGAACAATCACAACATCTTTCTTTGAAGTGACATCAAATCACAACCCTTTTATAACAATATCGTTAAGTTGAATGCAAAAGCGCAATGCAAGGTGTGGTTAATTCAAAAGTCCGTTGAATTTCAATGAAACTATGGGGTTTTCAAGTCCTATCAAACGTAGTGAATGGTGATCATGTAAAAAAAAAAACATCTCGAAAGGTGGGCTTCTAGATTTTAATTTTATAACGAAATGCACAAATAAAACACTTATTATTACACGCCGAATTCAACAGAGCAGTTCATAAACGTGTAATGACGTCTAAATATTGCGAAGTTTACAAGTGTATGATTATAAGAGCTGATTATGTGTATTTTTAACATAGCTCATGAGTGGGATTCGGTCGTCTCCCGCTGGATGCTAATAATGGGTGACTCAGGTTGAGACTGACCACTCGACATCCATATTATCAAACATATCTATTGTTCTGAATGCAACACTTACCGAAAACAGCATGGAATACACGTTTAGGGTGAATTTGATGAAGTAGTAGAATCGGTTGCTTTTCCTCATCTCTTTGTAGGGCGGCATGGTGCTAAGGCTAAGCTAGCCCTCCTCGGATTGCCTCAGGGAACTTCCAAAATGACAAAACGTGACTAAAACTTGTGATTATGAATGAAACGCTAGCTAACTGTATTTAAAAATCATCGCAGCTCTGGGTTTTCGCTGCCTGGTGTTTTTGAGGCGAAGACAGAACCACTTCCGTGCGTCCGCCGGTGCACGCTTTGTTTTGACTGCATCCTTAAAGAGACAGGCACACACTTAAGTACCGGCTTATTACACTGGCATAAGCAATTCCTCATAGCCACGTATTAGTGCTACAATCAAACCCAACAATTAAATTACAATAACGATATCATTATATTGTTTTCATATTTCTCACTTACCCACTGTGGAACGAATAAAGGCTTTCTTATCTTATAATAATAATAACACTGTAAACACTGACAGGTCCGGGCGCCACGGTGGCTGAGGAAATAGCACTCTTGCCTCTCGGCAGGAAGGTCCTGGGTTCGAATCCCGGTAGGAGTGGAGTTTGCATGGTCTCCCTGTGTCTGCGTAGGTTTCCTCCGGGCACTCTGGTTTCCCCTATACCACTAAAAATATGTACAATAGTTCTGGCATGTGCCTCCTGTACTGGCAACCCTGCTCCCATCTCTGTGTGGAGTGAGAGGACAAATGCCCAAAAAACAACAATTGTAAACCGCTTTGTGACTCTAGTCTGTGAAAGGCGGTATATAAATAAACATTACTTACTTCATTACTTACTTGAAAAAACCTTGGAAATGAATTGCATATTAACTTCACTTGAATTCCTCGAGTACATCCTTTACTTGATATTACCGTGTAAACTCAAGTGATTGCTATAAAGTTTAATTTCAACTAATGCTCCAACCGGGATTCGTACCTTATAGTTGGGAGGTAAAGGTGCTACCCACTCAGCCACCGGGCCACCCTGTCATTATAATACCTGCCTTACTAAAGACTATACACGTAAAAATATCAAAAGTGAGACTTGAACAGAGACAAAGAAAATCCTGAGTGATATCGCCAAGCTTTAAATAAACTAACAATAAACGAGTAATATTTACTTACTGGGAAAAATCTATTTAAGATAACTTTGATATCTGAGGTTCGATTGAAGTTAGGGTTTACAGTTTATAGCACTTTTAAAAACAATGTTTACAAAGCGCTGCACAGTCAGAATAATAAACAATAATAACATAGTGCAAAGTCAAAATAATTAGATACATCAGATACAGGAAAAGCAGACAGAGCAAAACACAAGAAGGGAGACACAACAAAAACAAAGCAGACATTAAAATACAGCATGTGAGGTTTAAAACTAGCAGTTAAAAGCTGTTTTATAAAAGTGGGTTTGCAAGTATTATGCGTAAAAGTGTGTATTCTTTATTGGTAATCTCCTACATTGTTCCTTTGAATGTGTTATCTTAAATGTTTTGAAGTATTGCTGATTGAGTTTCTTTTATATTCTGATACTATCTTGCGATGGCAGAACGGGTGTATGTAGGACAAGCGGGCAGTGTGGTGGGACCATGGATCTATTATGATAACGGGTGGGACATGAAGCACACTTTGGCTTGTAGAAAAAGAGGGCTGTAGGTCTGTGCAACTTTTCCAATGTTTATCCAAGAAAACACAGTTGAGATCTAAATGATGATATGCTGCCTAAATGAGCGACCAAAACAGCAACAGGAGCAAACTTTGTATTCTTGTTTTGTTGATGGTTGACACACAAACCATTTCATTCAATACTAAGATTCATTTTGATAGCTTGTATGAGAGCATGTTGCTAATATTTCCACTGCCTTTATCTTCATAACAGGAAAGCAGGTGAGAATTTGAGGCCTACATATTCCAGAGCCAATAAAGCCACTGTTGTCATGCTAGCAAAGTCTTCCTTCTAAGTGACAGAGTATCTAAATAATCTACTTGCGTGTCACTGAGGCCCTTGCAAAGCCGTAATCCAGGCAGTTGCTCAGCGTTGCGTCACCTGTTGCTGGCTGCTGCTGGATATATGTGGCGTGCCGTTGACATAACAGCGCATTTACAAACAGGCTTAAACACTCACACTGCCTGGCATCATCTGGACGGGGCCTTGATAAAAACAAGTGGATACGGACGCAATACAAGAATTATAAAGTTAGAAATAACTGGTGCAGGATTTTTTCATACTGGTCCAATCAAACTTTTTTGTTTTATCCCATTGGGGGAATGAAGTTTGAAGTGTATTATGTTGTGAGTCTCATCATTTTACCTGGACGTCCCTCTGTTTCAGCTTTACTCTCGATCCCCAGTGGCTTTGGTTCGTGTTGTTACAAAATCTATGTGTTTACCTTTGTCTTCTTCCGTTTTCATTGATGTTGGATCATTATCTTCCTCAAAACCTTGTCTCAATCCCAGTGTTATATATTACATCATAATTTTATCCATCTGGTACCAGCAGAGATTCCTCCCCTGGATCCACGACAAACAAATCCTACCTCAGAGGGATTTTTTTTTTTTAAATAAAGTGTTTGGCAAAATTTGCTGACAGACGTTTTTCATATTTTGTAAAGCAATTGGAATTACACGGGCGACAGTAGCTCAGTTGGTAGAGCAGGACTGAAGGTCGTGGGTTCAATTCCCACCTCTGCACCTTCTCCACCGACTCCCACTGATGACTGCTGTCGTTGTGTCCTTGGGCAAGACACTTAACCCCACTTTGCCCAAAGCCCCCACTGAAAGATCAAGGCTATGCTCACACTCAGAGAGCAGCCGTCCTCCTGTGGACTCACCACCTGCAGAGGGTCAGTGAGGGGCTGGTGCTATGAGACTTGGGTGGCATCTCTGACTGCCACCCCCCTGACCCAGAAATGGATTAAAGGGTAGAAAATGGATGGATGGATGGAATTACAAATAAAACCCATTTATTTTGCATGATCCAAATTCACTCAGTATAGAATTCACAAAAGTGATGGATCACTCTAAACAATTGGTCACAAAACAAGAAGAACCGATATTCTGAGGAATTAAGCAAATTCTGTCTTGCTGTATGAAATTATGTTCCTAAAGTTTCTTTGGATTTGGCTGATATTTACAGTATTCATAAAAATAATTTGATAACGTCATCCTTTTGATGAAAGATAATGATATTAATTTAATTGCAGACATTGCTGAAATGGCCCCTGATTTTAACATTAGCAGTGTGGGACATTTACTTATGTAAAATTGGTAGAAAGGTCAAAACACTGTCTCCAATGTATGTGGACTCAGTTGGCCCAAGCTTTCTTAGAAATAACTTCAAATAACTAAATCCAGATTTTACTCTAGAAATTGCGATGAACGTACATATTCTAAAACAAGTGTAACGTTTAAATAAGTGTATTTCTGAAAGTTTCTGATCCAAACAGTTCCAACCCCAAAGCAGGAGCTACAAGTCCCTAAAGAGTTGCCCAATATTGAGAATGCACCCCAGATCTAGAACTCTAAAAACCCACCAGGAAGTGTCCTACAGCGTGAAACAACATGTGTCCATCAAATAATCAAACAATTCTTCACAAAATGGACATATTAAGTTTAGGATTTATTTATTTATTTGCAACACAATATTTATGCTGCATCCTCTGCATTTTACCCGACCTATCTCCACATGTCAGGGGGAACTTTTTATCACTTCAAATCTTGTTTTTGGTAAGTCTGAACCTTGAACATATTTAGTTTAATTTAGCCTGGTTTTCCATAAGTTCTTTGGCAGGGTATGAATTAATGTTTGGGGACAACGCCTGTACCCTTTTACTTTATATTCTTTAAGCGATTCTTTTTGTCACATTTCCAAGACAAAATGCAAGTGTTCACAGTCGGAATTCAAATGAGATAAAGCCGTGGGTTTGTGGGTGTCATAAAATAGCAAGAGAGAGAGAGAAACAATGTATGATCACTGCAGTCTTCTGGTATAAATGTGATTAACGTTTATGGTCACCTTCTCCCCATCCTCATGTAAAACAACCCAACACCGTATGCATGTGCTGAAGTTTTGATATAATGTAACAATAAATGGTGTTTCATTTATATCCTCCTTGAAACGAGCAGAAACAGAAGAAGATACAACATGCGTTTGAGGCATTTGTGGTGTCACATCTGTGTGTACGTAGGTATGAGTGTGTGCGTGAGTCTGTGTGTGTGTACGTGTAGCTATATGAGCGTTTACCAGACTCATTCTAGGTAATGTGGGAAGTGTCTTGCCAAAGGACACAACGGCAGTTTGGCACTTTACAGTCGCCCCACGGTGGCACCTGGTGTTCCCAGGGGTCTCCCATCACTGCACTAACCAGGCCCAGCTTCAGAGGTCTGACGTAACATGGCTTTTTTTTGCAGTAGTTTGAGTAGATAGTGATGTAGATTTCAGAAATGTTTTCTATAAAATGTTTTATACTAATGATTGCATAGGTGCATAAAACATCTTAGTGTAATGTGTGGCCTGATTCTGGTGAATTCAGAGAAGATTCAAGGACAAGGTTTCTGTGATAAAAATATAATTCTAGGAACAGCATGTCTCTGTTATCGGAACAAGGCCTGAGACCCAAAACCGGACTAGACCAGACCCAAACCAGGGCCTCAGTCGGTCTCACCATATGACGTCATCAGACATTTTGATTAGGGACAGAGAGAGGGGTCATCGCAAAGCACCTGGTTGTCCCATCCATCCATCCATCCATCTTCTTCCGCTTCATCCGTTGCCGGGTCGCGGGGGCAGCAGTCTAAGCAGAGACGCCCAGACTTCCCTATCCACACACACTTCCTCTAGCTCGTCCGGGGGGACCCCAAGGCGTTCCCATGCCAGCTGAGAGCCATAGTCCCTCCAACGTGTCCTGGGTCTTTCCCGGGGCCTCCTCCCGGTGGGATGTGCCCGGTACACCTCCCCAGGGAGGGGTCCAGGAAGCATCCGGAACAGATGCCTGAGCCACCTCAACTGGTTCTTCTCGACGTGGAGAAGCAGGTTGTCCCCTCTGTACATTTTCAGGCCTGGA